GAAAATTCTCGGGTGCGAAGCCCTAGATGTATTTGAATATAATAATATTATAATAATATTATTATTATAATAAATGCAAAAATTTGTTTAGTTAATCAAATTAAACATATACTATTATGATAATATATACTATTTATAGACTTCTCTTTATTGTGGAACTAACATTTGATAAAACGATAGTTAATTCAAATGTTAACTGTCGTTTTTAATAATAATTACAATATATAGTTGTCTTTGGTAAATTTAATCATATTTATAGTATATGTTTAATAGTATTAAAACAATGATATTAACCTATTGCAAATTATTGTTAATTTTAAATTATAACACTACTAGATATTAACCCTTCACTCAGTGAAGGGAATTTATCTTTTTTAATGATAAGTAATACTTCAGTTGGGAAAATGAACCTTAGCCCAATAATGTACTTTAGCCCAAAAAATAGTATATTTTTCTTTAACAGGTTAGATTTTTACCTTGTAATTATTTTAAAAGGGAGATGTAATAAAAGGCAAATTTTGTTTGGTTAAAATAATAAAAGGGAAAACTTGTTAAAGTTATAAGGCGGTTTTTTTGTCCGCCAACAACTTAAATAAAGCAAACAACAATTGAGAACTTATTTGACTAAGATGTGCCAAATATCAATTTTTGAAAGAAAGTTGTGGTTTCCAATGTTGAGTTGGCTCACTTTGAGAATACAAATGTTTTAAATGTGTGTTGGCAACATTTTGACCCTTTGCCCTTCATTTTTTATCAATGAGTGTCGAGAGCAGCAATATCCTTGACAGAGACCATTTCTATCAAGCATTTATTTTAGTTTTTGAATTTCCTGGACGACACAGAACAAAACAAACTTTATTAACTATGCGTTTATAATTCACGCGTACAATTTATGTGTTCGTATTTTTTCAGCGAACTCGTTAATAACATTATTATTATTTATTAGTTTTTCATTTTCGGGTTTTTTAATTTTTTGTTATTTTTAGAATAGTTTAATTAACCATATGTTTTTAAATGAGGTTCTTTTTCTGTTGATTTACGATTGTGAAAATATGATACTTTCAATTCGCACCATTTTATATCGAGATTATTTGTCGTTGGATGTTTTGAAGTGGTTTAATTTGAAAGAAAATCTAATAAAACGT